AAGGTTCGCAGTTGTTCAGCCATCTCTGCCAACTGCTGCTCGATGTTACGTGTGGTTGTACGCTGTTCTTCGATTGCTCTCCAAACAGTTGGAAAACCCTGATCTCTGTCACGGGGTGGGTTGCAACTGCTACCGTCTAGGTTGGACATGATTGGGCGAATTCCCTATTCTGATATCACCTGACGCAGCGTGGAAGCAATGAGAACCGGAGCTAGCTATGCAAGCACCGGGCATTCGCTAGCACCTAGCGAATAACACCGATTTCTCTAGGAGAGAGAAAAGGTGGCGAAAACTCAAAGAAGAGARCTCAAGAAAATCTGAAAATCTGAAGTATGAATTGTGTTCATTAACTGGAAAATAGCAGTATTTATAATACATCTGGAAATTGAAATTGTAAAAGAACTGGAAATTGTGAAAGAACTGGGAAAGAACAATTATGATAGATCAAAACATCTAATCTAGATAGGATCGAATTCCTCTTTGCCTGATCTCCACCGTCCGATCTCCCTAGATGCATGTATCTTGGATTATCTTGCTAATCTTGATGCTTCTTGGAGTCTTTCTTGATAATCTTGGAAGAGTCTTGGAAGAGTCTTGCCTTATCTTGCTAATCTTGATAGTCTTGGGAGTCTTGAGTTGTTCTTGCTTATCTCTCTTGGACTAATCTTGATAATCTTGACTCCTTCTCTATCTTGACTTCTTGCCTTATCCTTATCCTAGAGCTGCCGCCCCTAGGGGTGCGATGGGCTTTCTTGTGATGGGCCTCCATCAGTGTGGGAAAGATATGCTATGGATAGAGTTTTGATCAATCAAAATCCACTTATGAATTTTGATAAATAAATTCCTATTGACTATTATGTTTATGATTCCAGTTTATTGGTCAGTTGTTTTTTGGATATCATATCTTTTTTATATCATAGTCGAATAATATAAATATTAAATCCAATTCAATCCTAAGATCTGATCAGATCTTGCAAATGTCCATTTAATTTTGAATCCATTAAGGATATCGAATATTCGAAACTGATCAGATACGATTTAATTTCTGAAAATTTTAATAAATGATTGAAAATACATAACAATTTATATAAAGAAAAATAAAAATATTAAATCTTTTTTAATTATTTTCATCATATATATATATACATGACTTTAAAAAAAATAAATAATAAGATAGGATTCAAATAGTGGGTATGAATTTGATCCGATTTTTAATGGGAGCACATTAACCGATCTGGCACCAGGAATTGGTGCCAGGTGCCACTGGGCCACTGGGCCTGGTGCCAGGTGCCAGGTGAATCACCTGAGGACCAGGTGCTATAGTCATTTGTGATTCATCTTTGTGATAAAGTTGACATTTTATTAAAAGGGGTAGAGTTCTCAGTTCTCACCCAGAGTATTACAATAAGGAACCTTATTACTCAATGGTCACCAGGAATTCATTGACGGTGTTGAACCGTACAATCGGATCATTTGGCCTGGGAACCATTCATGCAATTAGTTTTGTTTTACTCCTGAACCATTCTTGTGCCAAATATCAATGATTTGTCAGCAATTCATTGACCGGGATGGTCAAACCATTAATCCATTTGACTTGAACAATAGTTTTTGGTTATTTTTTTTTAATTTTTTATGTTTTTTTTTTAAATTGTAACATGCCATCCATTCGTACCAAACAGTAAAATTAATGACCTGAAAACCAATGGCAAAAGCCCTTCTAGTTCTGGGTCAATTTTTAAAACATTGATTTCATTTTTTTTTTTTTGGAATAGACTGTGTGTATCTACATCTTTCTAGGTATTCTCTATAACGCAACCTTATTTTTTTTCCCTTATTATTTTACACTTTGCAAAAGGATGCAAGTGCAACTTAAATAAGCCCAAGCCCAAAACAGTATAAAATGCTAACTTGGAGACGAATCCAAGCTGCTCCACTAGCTATTCTGCAAGGTTGCTAAAGATTATGCTTTCTTCAAAGCAGAACGGGATCTGTTCCTCACAAATGGGCGTCTCACAGGCACATCCACCGTGCATTGGGAACATCTAATAACTAATAAGCACAGGAAATGCTCCAAATGTATGGTAGGATATGTGTGTGAGGGGTGTGAGGCACCCTGAGTGAGGAGCAGATCCAGTCTCCTTCAAAGCACAAGCTGGGACACTCTAGTAGCCCTTGCTCAGCTCACACTGGATAACTGATGAGCCGTAGAGCTTTAATGCATTCATGTTCGTGCTTTGTGTAAGTGTCGCTACTGCATACTGCAGAGGGAAGGGGGTAGAGCAGTTTCTAGGTTTCTGGCCTAAAATGGACGAGCTGCAATGGCTTGGTTTCCCATGCTATCTTTTTTTTTTTACTTTCTAGATTTAAGGGTCCATTTGATTCAAAGTGAGAATTGTAATGGTCTATTCCCTTCACCTGGTTGGTTCAGTTTAAAATTGGAGTCAAAATCAGAATAAGCTGGAATGGATTCTCATTGTCAGAGGAGGGGCAAGAGAATGATGGTTCCCTCATACCCATTCCACCAGGAATGGGATTGAGATTCCAATTTTATCCAACCAAACAGTTAGACCATTCTAATTCCAATTGCAGACCTTTAATTCCGCAAACCAAACATTTTCATCATTTTACCTTTTGCTTGTGCATGTGCATGGCACGTGAAGATAATATTTTGTTATCTGTAAAAAAAATAAGTCCACTTTTACACTGAATTTGATGTTAAAAATTAAGCCCACTAGTTGAAATTAAAAAGAAAAAATAAAATAAAATACATCCACTACTTCCCAGATTCTACTCTGCCATGATATTCTTTCTACCCAAAATGCAAATGGTATAACATTGAGAACTGGGGCTTACTATTACTACTTTATTTCCCATTCCCAATTCTTATATATGTGAAAGAGAGAGAGAAATCTCACAATCATATAAACCTCCGGTCCTCCCCTAGGTTTTAATAACATTTCCTATAATTATTGTTCAAATTGAAAATGCCGAGTAATAGATTAACTTTTAAAAATAAGGGTTTTTAAAAGTTAGGCTCAGTTTGAAAATATATAGTAAAAAACAATACAAATACATAATAATGCTCAGATGTGCGACTCTTATGATCTGTGACGATGCTGCATCCTTTTCCAAACTGCTCTATCACAAAGATAAGGTTGTACGTTGTCTGAGTAATTCTAATTTCATTTTCCCGGTTGTATTATTGTTATCTTCATTGGTTTATCTGGAAATGCCATCTGATCAACTGCTTATCATCCATCAATAAGCAACCATTGCTATCTTCATTGTTGTTACCGCATAATATGTTAAGAAGCTTGGAGCAATGATAGAGAACCATGCCTGTACCGGTGGAAAAGAAGGTAATAAGAAGATGTGGCTTGTTGAACAATAAGATGCCTCACATCCATAATATAATATAGTGATCAGGAAGACAATGCGCCACCAGTAACAGAAGTTGACGTGTTGCCAACCTCACTTTCTATGTATTTTGTTAGCACCTTTATCTCTTTCCTCGTCTTTTCTAAGGGCGGATTAAGGATTCACAGACTAATTCGCATTCTGTGGCCCTGTCTACTATCACAGCCCTCAAATCTTGTCGGAGTCGTAAATGGCAAGCTGTGAGTCCTAGTCTTTTCAAAAGTACTTTAGCTCTGATGATGGACCAGCTTCATGGAGCCTCCTTGTCTCAGTACTGTTTTCGTGAAGTAAATCTATAGGATATGAGACGATGTAATTCTAATTAGTAAAACAAGAAAAATCTAATATAACATACCCACTAACAACAATTTCAACTAACATTTAAATTAAATACTCCCCCTTTGAAACTTTGAAACTTCAAGACTCATGCACAGGGCCGCTTTAATTAACAGGTTACAGTAGTCACACCTAGCTCACATAGAAATTAACATGCACGTACCACTTTCAGTTCAGAGAGTTCGAAATCTTAATTTTTATTTATTTTTAATTAAAAAGCGAGGGTTCTTGCAAGAATAATTTGAGCAAAGATGATGCAGGTGCGCGCCTCGGCTTTGTTCAGACGCTATTGCATCCGTGTCGGTGTCGTGAAGTCATTGATGGTTAAATAGATATTGTTTGTAGCCCTGGGAATCCAGGTTAACTCTCTTCATTAGTTTGTGGCAAGTATGCCATAACTGTATTTTTGTATTTTGCTTAATTAAATCTTTGGGACGAGTGATGTCTCAAAGTTTTGCAATGTCCAAAGATTCCAAGTTTTGAACTCTTGGGGAAGAGGAAGAAGATGCTGCCTCAATGGCCTAAAGCTAGCAAATGGCTCATTGCTTAATTTCCCCACCCTACTCCAATATAAAAGAACGATGCCTACATATACATATTGTATGGGAAGTTGATCCTCTCCAAACCCAACAAATTAATTAATAATAGCTCTAGTTTTCAATTTATGTTAAATGTAAGTGGTGCAACAAGATTCCAAGTACGAAATATGCAGCCTACACAGGTAGCTATATATAGATACCATGGAAATGTGTATATCGGTCATGTAATCACTAGCTTCATGACTATCTTTTAATTTCAGTGACCAAATGGCTCAACCATGAATCTATTCTTGAATTGTCAATTATCAAACACCCTCCCTTGGATCAACTAATGCTTTAATTATACACAAAGTGAGTCATGTTGTCCTTCTGATTCCTTCATGTCTTGGCAATATTCTTTCTCATCGGAAATTGTTGGCTTTCTCTGATCATTTGCTTCTTCTCTACTCTTTCCCCATAAGACACTGTAAAGGCCTCCAGCCAACAAAGTTGCGCCTAGCACACTGCAAACATGCAGAGTAACGACCCAATTATATACGTTAGGTAACGTAACTAAGTGGATTAGATTTCTTAACTGAAACTCAATCTCTAAGATTTTATCAAAAATTAGAAAGAATCATCACCTCCCCAGAGCAATTAGTTCGCCTAGGAGAAACGTCGAACAGATAATGGTGATGATAAAAGAAAGAGGGGTTGACATGGCTAGAAAGACGGGCCCTTTCTTCTCAACGCACCATGCTTGTAGGTAGAACGTAATCCCTGTAACCACGACTCCCTGCCATTGATATATGAATACAACAAGCTCAAACTTTATACGTACGAAAAACGGTATCAATCTCAGAGAACAAAAAGGGTGTCTAGTGTAATTACACAGTAGGCCACAGCAAGAAGCCCAACATCCCAGCTCAGCTTCCATTGGTTGAGGTTTCTCTCAAAAGCAATGCCAATGACAAACGACTGAATGGTGCTGAAAAAGCACTGAAGCGCTGTGAGGAGAAGCTTTGATGGGTAAGCCATCAAAACCCGTCCCTGTCCAATATCAGATTTTAGAGTAAGGTCGCTCATTGTCAACCTTGCTTACAGAAATATAAGTAAGACTGTTAGAGTTAAAGACGTCATGACTAGCGTACCTGGAATACAAGCCACAAACCCCACAAGGTGTTTGATGTAAGCATGAGGAAACAGCCCTTCACCCATGTCTTGGTGGTGTGTGCAAGGCCCAGATTTTCCTCACTGTTTCGATTTCCAAAAGGGTGATGATTCATCAAGGGTTTCAGATGTGGTCCCTTATAGAAGGCAAGAATCATGGCACCAGCCAAACAGAGTGTCACACCTACAATCTTGACTTTCCCTGAGAGGGTCCTCAGTTTGACGGTTTCCATCCTGTCACAGGAGTAGATATATATAGATATATAACTAAGGATATTAATTAATTAATTAGACGATGGATCATAAAACAAGTGATGCTTCACTGAAGAACTTCCACTGATGTGTGGCAACCACTTTTCCAAGTAATTTGTTGTCATTTCTCGACTCAATATGCACTTGCTTTGTTACTTGTTTGGGTAAATCATATCCTAGTTTAATTATTTGTTCTCAAATTTCTGGCTAGGCAAATATTTCTACCTAGTACTTAGGGTTTGGTCTGGAACTAGGCCCACGCTAAGCGTAGGACGATGACCTAGCCTGAATCCCATATATATATATATATATATATATATATATATATGGTGGGGATAAGGCTTGGATGATGGGTGATGTGCATGAGATATGATATGGACTTATATATATACATGCATTATGCATATTACCTATTTTGTAGTGGCAGAACTTCATAGGGATGAGAAGCTTGGAATTACACCCTAGAGACAGTGTAGTACAAATCTTTTCCTTTTCATTCTATATTTTTTCTTTTTGTTCAATGTGAGATCATCTCTCCTGTAAAAGACATATTACAAATTTTTTATCACAATTTGAACCCAAATTCCTTCTGTCATTTTCTTTGTCCTTTTTAGAGCCTTCATGTTGAAGCAAACTACGGGGTCACTCTAGTGCCTTCAATGTTATTATAGTTATTATTCAAAATCAAGTACAGATCATATAGCTACATAAATAGCAACATTCAATTGGATTTACTGACCATTTCATGATCATGAATTAAATCAATTTGGTGTGGAACCCTAGTGATCGTCTAGCACCAACCACCAAATTAATCATTCTAGCTCAATGCACATGTTAGAAAACATGAAGATTTTTCTTCAAATTCACCTGACCTTCACAAAACTAAGCCTACTTATAATTCTTGGAACAACCTAATTATGACCCTATTCCCTCTTGCTCCTCTAATAAGTACTAATGACGGTGGAAAGAAACTCTGTTAATTCGTTATTAGAGATTATCAGTTTTAATCATGTGAAAAAATAAAAATCCATCTTATTACCTTTATATGGGGCATTATGTCATCCTTTATAAATTGTAGGTAGGACCGTATCCAGTCCACCCTCCCAACACCCTTTGATATAGCTGAATCCAATGTTGGGTAATGATCTTTATTTAAGGTAACAGATATTATTAAAGTAGCTTTTTAAAAGCCAAGTAAATAATAATGATTATTAGACTGTAGGGTTTTCATGTATTGCACAAAGAGAACATTCTGTCCGATCATCATCACTGGAGCCTACGCTCTGATTGATATCAACGTGGTCATAGTTAAGACTTGCTGGTCCCCAATTGGGTATCTGCAGCAACTGTGATTTCACCTTGGACCCAAAACTTACTAATGGGTCGGGTACTCTGGTAATTGATAACCGGGTACTATACCCGTTTACTCTATTATCGATCCATGGTTGCTAATTAATGCATTTCCCCTCTAAAACTGTTAAACATGCATGAGTGAATGATAACCTCTGCAATCATATTCATACCCGTGGAAGAATCACAGTTGTTTACCTAAAAAAAGGGAAGAAGCATACTCTATAGCTTTCACAGTGTTTCTACTATGTTTCTTTCTCTTTTAGGCTCTAGTAATTACTAGAACCAACCGAATGTCACATGGGTAAATTGTCTGTTAGGTGGAAAAATGTAATTAATTAACCTTCTGCAACTACTCTAGCTACAGGATCAAAACTGGTTTTGATTTGCTTTATGGAAATATGGAATAGAGTAGATGCCATAGCCACTTGACCATTATAGAAAGAGGTCATCAGATATCCCATATAGCGTTTGATGAGGTCAAGTTTGAAACCCCACCCTCTTTTGGAATTGCTTCCATCTCCAAGTTTCTACTTTGTACCGTAATTTGTAGGAAAAAAACATCTAGCCTATAATTATACTTTTGTCAAACTGGGCTTTGAAGTTTCGAAACCAAAAACGTAACGAAGAGCTAGAACCAAAGTTCAAACTCAACTATGGCTGATTGATGTTTTTTTTCTTTTTCCTTCTTATTTCCATTTTCATTTTAAATTCTCGAGCTAGAAATGCAACGAATTTTTATTCTAGGGTTATTTGGAAACAATGAAACAAAAGTTATAATTGAACCCAACCAAAAAAAAAATACCTGAGCAAAACAGCCAAGAAGAAGGTGATAACAGGAAGGGTGTTTGAAGTTGCAGAAGCCAGCGTTGCAGATGTATAAATTAAGGCGACACCATAAATAGTCAAGCTGGAAGTAATCCTGAAATCAAAAAACCCAACTTCAGATACTGAAAACTTTTGTCTTAGATCAAACCTATAAAGAAACCAGGTTCACTAGTTGATCAACAGACATACCCAAATAGAGAGAGCATGAAAATCTTGCAGAAGATGGGGAATGACAGTGGAGGTGCTCTTTTTCTACACAACACTCAATAGAGATCAGTAAGAATAACCCCTTAGTAGTAGAGGAACTTGAATACAAGTCGTTAGTCATCAGGTCTGCCCATTAATTCTCTCGTTTGTGGTTGGAACTTTTCAACTCATAACGGAACCATACATGAAAATGGGCATTACCCTAAACTACGACCAACCAGAAGAGGGGGAAGAAGAAGAGGAAGAGGGAGCTTCTACCTTTCGAAAAAAATGGCGAAAGGGAGTAAGAATATGGTTGCAGCAGCCTGTCTATAGAAGACAAACACAAAGTTGTTCATGCCTGTATTGAATGCAGCTTTTGAGATCAAGAACATTCCAGCGTATATGATTTGCACCAGAACCACAGCCAGATAAGGCTTCCTTTCATCCATTGTTATAGGATCAAGTTTCAACTGCTTCTGCAAATTAGATCAGACAACTAGAGGTATTTATACAAGTTCCCTTAGTGAGCTCGTGAGAAAAGTCGTAGCTACTGTTTCTGTCACGTGTATGGTAAGGATCATAACCTCTTTAAGGGTAGATGGTTTCATTTTAGGAGGTGTTTGGGTTGTTTACGATATCTTGAACTTGAAGACTATTAATTTATGGGAAGGGTCTCATTGAGTTATTAAATTGTGAGAACCCTACCACCTCCCCATATGTCATGTTCTATGGAGGAATTGCAAATTCTTTCTATATTTTTGAGACAATGGCCGACTGCCACTTTAGTTTTATCACGGGATATATATCAGAGCCAAACGTTTTTATTGAGCTAGCTCTATCCATTACTGAAAGGAAAAAAGAAAAAGAAAAACAAAGGGACGGCCAGTGATGGCTGACATGGAAATGATGCTTCATTAATCTGATGAATGCATGCTTTACAAGTCTACTTTTAACTTTTATATATATATATATATATGTGTGTGTGTGTGTTTATATTTCGTGGTGCTTGTTTTAATTGTGGTTCACTAAATCGCTGATTTCTGCAATAAAAGCTTTAATTTAGTGGGATATATAGTTTAATAAGTGAAAGGCCACAGCTGGGACACTGTCCAAGCATTTTTCTTAGTCAGGTTTGATCCCTTATTCATGAGGCTTCAAAGACAAGAGTTATATCACTTCATTTATTCCTCCCAAAAATTCTCCACAAGACAATAAAATACGGAGTAGGAAAGACTCAAATTACTTAATATTCATGCTTCACAGATAAAAGTGAAATGATGAATCTCTTTTTTAATTGAAAACACAACTGTTTGGGACTTTAGGCTTTTGAATACTGATTGTTAATTAAAGACTGGAAAATGTAGGAAGTAGCTAGGAAGATAGGAACTGTATAGTATACCTCCTCAAGCCCTTAATCATGGTTTAAGGGGGTTCAAACGTGAACAAAACTCTGGTTCCTTCTGGGAAGGAGGAAGAGCTGGAGCTCAAAGCTACGCCGCCCATGTTTCAATGAATCTAAAACTTCACCTGATCAACATGGGTTATGTGGCCTGCGGTTTCCTCCTTCCCTCCCTTCCATGATGTAGCAGAAGTAAACTTTCCAAAGGCAGAGCAGGTATAGGTCTCGACTTGTTCTTGAATATATTGATAACTATGACCACCTTTCAGCATAAACTGAATTGCTTTTTCAAACAAATTAATTGTCCGATAGTTCAGGTAATTAACTTCACTTCACTTTCATTGAACTGTGCTCTAATCTGATATGGAAACTAAGTGCAAGCTATTTGGGTCTTTCATCTGTATACGTCAATTGACAAATCAAACCATTAGTTAATTAGCAGTTTAGCACAACAATATTCCAGCTACCTCGGTCCCTTGGCTTACATGACAGAAGATAAAATACTTTTGCAAATTTGTTGAGAATAATTAAGCACTACTTTAGAAAGGCAGTTGGGCCGTTTACGGAAGCAAATTGTCTTTTCACTTAAAGTAATTTAATTTGTTGATAACCACCGACCAATCTTTGTTGCGACATACAGGCCGGGAACTGGGAGTAAGATATTAGAAGACATAATACTTGTTTGAAAGAGAGAGAGAGGGTTTGAAGCCAAAGCACTTAAGTTTCATAATTCATATAGTCCAACATGATTTCTGGCTTGAAGCATGTTCATTATTCTTTATTTTTTTAACCATTTCCTTCCGAATTCTAGAACCCAAATTGTTTTAAACCCGAATCATTCTCATACGTTTTCTTTTCTGTAACATCATATTTTTCTAGCATTAGCTCAACCCAGATATATTCACCGCCATAATTAGCTAATGAATATGGAACTATGTGCACATTAATGGTAATATATATAGAATCATTTACACCCAAACCCAGATACAATGTCACATCTGTGAAGCGCGCAGATATTAATTTCTTTTTTTTTTTTTGTCATATATATAAGAGCTACTTACGACCAGACTCCAGTGGACCTTTGGCATTGTGGGCAGTCTTGTAACAAAAAGTTGATTCACCTTTTACACACAAAAGGAAGTTCCTGATCTTCATTCTTCACCACATCCATCAACTTTTTTGGATAGAAATAAAAATGGAGAAGAAATCCGGTTGTATTAGAGGCCATTGCATTGTATGCCCAAGAAAAGAGACAAGCGCATCGATAATGCTTTTCTCACGAGGTCAGGTTTTCTGATGTTACAGAACTGCTTTGATCTTTAAAGCAGAGAAGGAGATGTTGATTGCACACTTGCATTTTAGGCCATTATAAGCAAAATGATTGATAGGCTAAGGTCCGGTTTTACGCAAAAGCAATGGAGACAATCTATATGTGCTTGCACATGGCCTTTAATTTTCCTAACACGCCAAAAGTGGGAGAAGCATAATCAGACTGATGGTTCGGGGATTCTTCTCAGCAAATTAAGTAGAGGGATTCTTCCAACCATAGTGATTGGTGAGTCCCAAGCATTCTCCCACAAAGCAATTTCACTTTGGGTTTTGATGGAATGGAAGAGCGTGGCTTCCATATATTCTTGTACGTAAGCTTGTAAAATAATCAGAGCTAGACAGCATGCGAGAAAAGGAGCTTATATATGTTTAAGTAGACTGCAGTAAAAGTACCAGCGTTTCTGTTGCTAGTGCACCCAAAAAGATTGAATTCGCATCAGAAATAATCACACCGTCAAGAATTCATTGAATCTTGTAAACTTTTACACAGTCATATACAGTACAGAATGTTCAAACGTTGGAAATGTTATATGTAAAACGATCGTGCATATAACCTAACTTGGAAGTTTCAAACATGAAGGCTTCCTTTGATGAACTCCAAATTAAGTTGCCACCTGGAAAATTCTTTCGTGTTAATACCCTAATAGGGAAACTTACTAAACAACCTTGTACATATGAGTGGAATAAGAGAGACCTATTACTATTGTTTGATGATACAATGTCAAACTTGCTTGAATTTGGGTGCAAGATTTGTGCATGTGTTTGGGAATCGGCTCAATACACCCAATCTGACCGATCCAATCACTTTTATCAGATTCAACCACGCCCATAGAAAGACCAGCTGATAATTGCTTGACATCTTTGGTACTTGTTCTTCCGTTTCAGAAAGGTAGCTTTTAGGAGGCTAAACTCATTATTGTTGATTAGGTTCTCAGCTGGCCTCAGTGGTCTCTAGACTTATATACTTGTATAGATGCCTAATATTTTTGTTTTTGCTTATTTAGGCTCTGTTTAGATAAGGTTTTCCCCTTCGAGCTTTGGGCTATTGTAAACAAAATCGAACCAATTAAAAGTCTGTTTGGTATTGATGCCGTTGCTCCAGAAAACGGTGACACATCAACGCCATACTGTAAACAAACGGTGATGTATCTCAGTATTGATGTATGTTTGGCATCGGTGCTGCAGAAAATGGTGCTGCTGATGTGTGGGTTGAAAGTACCATTTTTTGAGAAAATGATGCCTTTTTTTTATTGGAAACGTTGTTACTAGATAAGGCGTTTCCTTGAACAACAACAATACTTTCTGTTTGATACTAGTGCTCCATATATGTATACAGCAACGGTACCCATTATGGGAACTCAACTTCCACTGCCACATCATGTCCTCATTGGCAGCAACGAGCTCCAATCTGAGAAAATGTCAAATTCGGCGTTGCTCTAAATCACGCCTTCTCGATTTCCAAGTCGTGGCTTGGAGCACTACACTCACACCATGACAAGTATAGAAGATGTTCCCAATGTATGAGGAGACGTGCGTGTGGGATGCACTCTGTGGGCCCTATTCTGAACTCTAAATCGCAATTATCCTTCTAGAATTGGCAATTACTCCGAGAGGAAATTCTTATATTTGGTTGAGTTGATTGAACCCAATTTCCTTAGTGGTTCAATCCTCAGAATGAAAGGATGGCCTCTCTTCTTTGTTCATTGCTGCATGCATGGGTGCACCCTTCAAACTAATTGGGTAGAAGACCAAGGTTTATTTGGTACCAAGAAAGTGAAACCTATTACGGAATAGTGGTTTAGTAAAAATATCAGCAAACTACTCGTCCTGTGAAGCAATAAACCGGCCTTGGAGAATTTTCCTCGCAATCAAATTTGAACAAAGTGAAAACCAATCATGATGTGTTTTGTTCGAGCATGAAAAACATGGTTGGCTATGAGGTAGGTAGCACCTAGATAAAATGTATGAAAAGGATTAAGAGAAAACAATTTCACTGAGAAGAGTGTGGCTAGCCGGATGACTTCTACTAATGCAAGAGCTATATTGCAAAACCAATCTCGATGTGTTTTGTCCGAACATGAGAAACATGGTTGGATACGAAGTAGGAAGCACCCAGATTATCACACCATAAAATGGATGCATAAAGAGGATTAAGGGAAAACAATTTCACTGAGAAGAGAGTGTAGCCAGATGACTTCTACTGATGCAAGAGTTATACTACATTATTCACTTTCTGTACTAGACCTAGAAACGATTGTTTGTTTCATAGAGGACCAAGAGACCAAATTCGACCCAAGAAAAATCTAGAAACCTCCTTGAGATCTGTGATCATTTGGGCGTCTTACCCAATCAACATTGCATCAAAGAATGCTTGAAGTTAGAAATTGGAGGGGCGAATCATAAGACCATGGCAATATAGTATGCTTCAAAAAATGCAGTATGTGTTTTAGAGATACCCAATGCTCAATTGTAGGGCAATGAAGAAACTGACAAACTTTATTCACTGTGAAGGCAATGTTTGCTCGTGTAAAACTAAAGATAGTAGAGAGCTCCAACAATGCTTTTATATTTTTATTTTGAGGTGTTAAGAAGACTATCACCAGAATCTTTAGATAACTTGCATGCAGTTGCCATAGGTGTAGAGATTAGCTTACAACTAGAGGTGTCAATTGGATTGGATTTGGTCCAATCCGATCCAGTCCAATGTGAGTCCGCTTACAAATGGACTAGACCCCAG